AGTTATAGTGGAGAATTGGTTGAGGTTTTCTGACTGTGCCATCGACTGGCTTCAGGAATATCGTTCGCCGACATACAAACTAAAAAATTGTCCTGCATTTGAATTATCCAGATGAACAATTTAAGGCGTAATGCCGCTTGCGATGGGTGCTGTGTGAGTGGCAATATTAGCAACGCCGGTAGCAAATGTTGGATTTAAAAACTACTCACGATCGTTATTTTAAATGCTGATGGCCTTGACTGTTAATTCAGACAAGTTTCACACGTCCTAATGCATGACTCTTAGCCATTCCTTGAGCGTGCTTTTATCCAGAACCAATAAAATGTCAATATCTTCCTTAGTGGCAGTATGTCCTCGCGCAATTTCGTTGTCTGGTCTTACTCCTTTGCTTTTGTTGAGCAGTTTTGCATCCAGAAGTGCGCACTCGAATACCAAAACTTATCAAGACAAACGCTTCCTGCGTCGTTACTATATGCAGCATTGTATGGACAAGGTTAGTATGAGGAGACGCGTTGTTCGCTAACGCAATCAGCTAACAAGTTCTTTTTCTGCATTTATCACGGGCGTCTACCACCTGCTTAACTGCGTCAACTATCATTCACTCTGAGTTTATTCGCTGCATCCATAACGGGTTTGATAGAATGTATTTGTGATGTTTGTCACGAGCGCAGCCGGAGCTAACCAATCAAGCAAATCTCATTAGAATTTCATAAAATGCACCCGTGTTAAAATTTTGTAATGGTGTAAGAGGGCATTACACATGCCGGTTACAAATCTGACATCTTCAGCGCAGCTGAAATGTGTGTAACATAATTAAAGGCAACGAAGCGCTTCGCTCCCTTATATAGGTAAAGAAATGTCGATGAATGCTTCCCATACAAACCCTGAAAACTCTGAACAATCAGTTAAAGGACTGCGAAGTGAAATGCTTTGCAACAATGGCGAGGAGTACAAAACAAATGGAGGCTTGCTCATCTGAATTTTTCGTGGATCACTGCATTGCTTTCGTTGTTACGAGCACTGTCTACAACAGTTCCCACCTGATTCGCCTGTTCATTAAGGTGGATAAACAACGGAATCGCCTGATGAGAGTTAGACAGCTATAAAACTACACAAAATGATTAATTTTGTGGACTTCACACTTGTTGTTCAGTGGCGAAAGCCAAAAGTGGTATGGACCTACATTGGACTGTTTGCTTAAGAAACCGGGCTTACACCAGGCTTATACCAAGTATACATGAATACTTTTCCTGCCACAACAATGACATAAAAAGAGAATGTGCTGAACAGCTGCGCAAATTCGATATATGGCAAAGGATATGTGTGATTAGACTGTGCCTACTTTACGATTATGATTATATCACTGTCAGAAAATGTACTATGCTTGATTATGATTTGAAGGGCATGAGCTTTATGAAAAGCTAGCTACTTCCACTAGTGAATGTGAGCAAACAGTTCTGCTCTCTGTCATATTCCCAGCACAACTGTTGTGATTTAACCAAGAAAATAATTCGTGGAATATAACAATTGTGAGGTATGGTTGGTTAAGCGAATCATCCAGTTGCTTTACAAAAATAGCTTGGCTATAGAATTGAAGTCTGGTAGCTCAGGTTGCTTGTTCCGACGATGGAGCGACTAAGAAAAAATTTCGTTTCTATGGATTGCCTGCACGAACAGAACGGCAATGCCTATGGCAACAAAGGGCTGTACCGATTATTCAGGTTAAGGAAGAGTACTCCCAGGTCAGTATGAATACTAAGCTACAGTAATGAGCGTTACACATGATTTGGAGCCTGCACGATCAGCAGGTATTGGTAGACCGTTGTAGAATTCCAAGTATTTTTGCCTCAACTCTAACTGAAGCTGATAACAGTCATTGACCACTCTGCAAGTTTCGGGTATTTTCTTCAATGCTACCTGGTTTAGGCTGAGCATTCAGCAAGTATATGTATAAAACTGCTTTGTACTTGACGTGAAATAGAGATATAGAAGTGCCAGCAAAAAAAGTCTCTAGACTTTGTAGTTTTGGTTGCCAGCTATCAAAGAAATCGCCCATCAAAATTGTATTTGGAGTACCCGCCGTGTGGTTGAATTGCGGCACACAATCTCCATTAAGCCCTCTGTTCACTTTGAAGTAGACCTCAGTCATTCGGATCATAGGGACCATATCCGAAATGGAGATGCTTCGGTGTTCCTTTTCCCAGCACACACATTTCGCTGATCACATGGAACAACTATGATCACCCTTAACCAGAAACACAGGACGTAATGAACGTAAGAGCTATGCAGTTTACCTGAGAGTAAACATGCAGCGAATACACAATAGGTCGAGAATAAAGAAACTATTGCTTATTATAACCTTACTACAACCACGAGAATATGATCCATGTGGAGCGCCAAAATTTGGGCCTATCGGAATCTCAAGCAAGGGACTAAAATAAACACAACCAAGAAAGTGACTCACGAAAGGAGCAAGCAGTGTTGACTTAAATTTTATGGACGAATTTCGTGTGTGGAAAAGAGGCACAACGTTCCGGACGGACAAATACGTTGAAAGAAGGGGATGATAGTTCAGACAGTTTGAATTACATGCACGATCGCAGTGTCCACTGTCTCACCAATCTCGCAAATAGACAAGATTTAGCTTCTTGCTCCTGCTCCACCCACCGACATACACATGCGCAGCAAGCAGGTCATAAATGACACCTGAGCGAAACAGGCTGGAACTGACTGAATGGAATGAATCCCAGACACAGACACTTCAGTTTTTGTTGGACATTGCCCACCAACGCATGTCTTCCACAGACTTATGTTCTAATCGAGATAAGCAGTTAACCGCATTATACACTCGCCGCGATCCACATGGCTAGTCGCACTTGCCAAATTCACCTGGGACGCGCATAGTTTACCACCATGTCCGCAGCTAACAAACAATCCCTGCTTTCAACCTTTGTGCGACCAGACGGTATCCAATGCTGGTAAGTGAGCATGCTGACAGTTAACTGGCCAGCAGTAGTATGTTGGTTTTTCAAGACATTGGTGTTTTGTACTCTGGAGTGGGAGAACACGAATATCTATTTTAATGTGTACACTGTCCAAAATAAACCACACACCAAAATCTATCTGTGAGTAGTGCGTTGGTGGCCGCCGCTCATCGGTAACGGCTCGTGTTTAACCGTTCCCTAGTGAAGGTCGGGGTTAAAGTGGATTACGTGCTCTTGGTTCCGAGTCAAAGTAGAATTCAACTTAAGTCATTATCCTACACCATAAAATTACTTTTTCTGACACCTTGGAATACTGCGATGCAAAGCAAAAAAGAGCAATTTCTGTTGCCTCATGGTCAATGTGGTCAGTTGCGCTTATTTAGGTAGAACGATTTGGCGCCAAATCTAGTAGGCGCGTTTTCAGTTGAGTAGTTTGGATGTATATATACATATGTGTTTGTCTGTTATTTCACTACCATTTAACATCATGCGTAATAATGATCACTCAAGCACTGCCAGTTTGTGAACAGACGGTCGTTTTCTTTTATACAGCGAGACTGCAACATAGGCTACGCTACCTGACATCTGGTCCGTTAAATTGATTCTTTGTGAGTATGCGAGTTAGAACCCTGATACATCCCTACCTTTATAAATTCAAGCTGTTGGATTTGATATTAAAATCTTGGGATTCACCCGATTCTGAGGACCTAGTTACTATTTCAAACGATCACATACGCGGTTCCAGATTTGAGCAGAACCAATGACTTTTCATGTTGCCTCACTGCTGAAAGTAGACCTAAGTTCATGGCACCATGACAACAAAAGAGACGTCAACTAACAAGAGAAGACGCACGAACTGTTTAACTACGAATTTAATTGTGATTTTTATTGAAAAACCCAGTAGTACAAGAGGCGCATTAACTTCAGTGAACCGAACAGTAGTCTCATTCATCTAGGGATCACGTGCAATGTGTATCGCTCTCAAGTATTGGAGTTGCGTTTCCATCACGACTTTGCTAGTGTTGTTAACTTGACCTAATTTATAAGGTTCGGTCTGCTGCAAATAAATTCACCTGTAGCGTGTTCACTATCGTGATCTTAACCCAACCGATAGGAAGAAAGTACGATGTGCTGAAATCCTGAGCTGGCCCAGCAGTCAACCCTTGGAGGGGAGGCGGGAAAGGGGAAAACGTTGCGTGCATTGCTGTTAAAAAAGAAATCTTGAAATAGCGTCTAGACCAGCACAGAGTGCGCTGCGGATACTGTGGCCAGGCAACTAACGGGTAGAGCGAAATTCTGCAACTAGCAAGTTATTGTCTATACAAGCCGCTAAGTGCTCTCGGTAGCCGCGACACGATCGCTCTGTCCGTTGGCACGTTACTTCAAGAATCCGGTTTAATTTTGAAAACAATAGAACATCTTTGTACATGCCTAAACAGCGGATATCATTCGGCCAGGGTGAATCGGTGGCCGGTGAACATTTAAAAACACTAATGTGTTGTCACTGGTATGTATGCATAAATTGGCACCATTTATCACCAGAGAAAATCCTATTGGGTTACAAGTGGTGCCTCGTCGAAAGGAAGCATCAAAAGCAGTTTATGAGCCCCACATTCTTTGGAAGATGCCAGTGACGTGCTCATTCTACCAGATGTGCATCTTTCATGTAATATTGATTGCCTTCTTAACTAGCCAGCTTAGTTCTGGCCAAAATTAAATCTAGCCTCTAAACAGTAGTATCTCCGACGTGAGTACTACCTGTAACCGGGGCTCTCAGTTGCAAATCACCACATGATTCGTAAAGAAGGTTAAAGGCTGCAACTTTGTTTGTGAATGATTTGGGTAACTTAGAATAAGTATCGTTATTTGGTTCAAAGGAAATAATGGAGTGCCGTTTTGAACAGACAGCCCTAACATTCTACTTAAAAGCTTAAAACGAGATCATGTGGGTTCAGTCATGTGGATTTGGTACAAACCTGCGTGACACACTTAGGGTAAGTCCCCGGCCAAACTTACTTCTGGTCATCTCCCAACCAGATAGCAGAGCATCGAGCCTCTACACTTCTGTGGGTAGTCAGTTTGAGGCAGGTTTCCGAGCACTGATTGCCAATCCAGTCAAAACAAAAGGGCACTATTGTTAGAGTGGGACGTCCAGTGGCAAGTCCGTGTTGGACAAGGGAGCGCGTCCTACCTTTCTGGTTAACTGGCACAAAATGATCCAGATAATATCCAATATAATCCGGTAGGCATATGCGAATTCTTCTTGCTAGATGAGAGTAATGCCCATGAGCTCTGGCAGTTGTACCGTCCAACGCCGTGGAGTGAGCACGTACAAATAAAGGTTGCCAGCTAGCGTAGGACATACGAAAGCACGTAAGCGTCGTCCAACGCCGTGGAGCCTGCGAGGTTTCTTCTCCAATAGGGAATGTTGCTCAGGCCTTGTAGCCACTGCGTGTGTCTGTCCAACCATGGGAATACACACTATGGAAGGTAAATGGCGCGTGTCTGATTCAATGTCGGTCCGCCTGTTAGTCTGACGATCCACATCTCTATTCACTTCCCCTCTCCTAAACCAGCTGCAGTCTTGTCAAAAGCTGTTGGGACAAAATCTCAACCTCTTTGGTATGTAATGTCCGCTAATTATCCTCTGGAAGCAGGTGTTGCCCTCCATTAAACCAGACCGTCCGATTCCGCTCTTCAATGGCAATATCCGCCTCATCATAGAAGTATGAAATCAAATTCATGAAATTCATGAAATCAAATTCATTGGGAATTAATCGACTTTTTGTGCGGAAGACAGTTATTTGTCATCAATAACCTGACTTACGCCATTCCTCCACTTGTATCCTCCAAGATCTTGAAAGGACGAATCATGTATTATAAGTGACGCCACTCTGGTAGGTGCATGGGATGGAATGCTAATCCTAGTACCAAAGCAGTGACTTGCCATTAATGTGACATTATCCTCTGTTAGCAAGGGCCAAGATCCTTGAATGTCTATACCTCCAAATTTCATGCCTGACAGTTTGGCCTCTATCACTGAAACTCATGCAGGTTGGCATAGCATATCACACGTAACGCTGGATCAGCATTATACGTCACATCGGATAATTTGCTGCATGTCATTAAACAGTAACTCTGCTATTAATGAAACAACTGGTATATTTTTCCGGCCAGTGTCATGCGAATATGTCGCATGGGCTGTCTTAGCACTGTGACCCATCTGTCCACTTGGGTCAGCGACCAAAATGCATGTATCATCTAATACTCCTCAAATGAGGGACATATCAATCAGAAAATGTATACGGACTAAGTATGGCAAACTAGTACACATAGGAAAATATGAATTTTGTAGGTATGACGCTGTAATGCTGAATAGAACGCGTTTGATTCCACACCAGTCCTGCGACTGAATGTAGGCAGCAGATTATGCCAAAAACTATTCGCGTGTCTTGATCATATACTGTCGAGAATTTTATTCATTCGTAACAGACAGTTATGCTACAAGTACCCGCCCCTTAGGATGCTTCCAGTAGGGAGAATACTTATGTTTCGGGGTGACAATGAGAGCATTCGGCTCCTTTCAGATCTGAGGATTTTTGCTTCAGAGGTTTTGTCACCAGGCTAGTTAATAGCCTCAGTGCAACTTGAAAGATGTCACACTGACGATAATAACTATCCTGATCACGAAACCATTGTAAGCAAAATATTTGGCTCTGAGAACAGCCAAAACCCGTGTGCTCTACATGTATTACCTACCATAGTCTAAACCGTTAGCAAGTCTACCGATTATAACTAGAAATTGATGGTCTGTTATTGAAGTCTGCTTACTATAGGCCAGTCTCTCTATTTGACTCAAGACATGTTACAATGTCCCGGTCATCAATGCGCCGTTGTGCAGTTCGAACGGTACGATAATGAAACACTCCAGCAGTGCTCACCAATAACACTTCTACGTCTCCACTGGGTATTTGTGACACTGGGAATAAAAGGAAATCACTACTAATACCAGTGACCAAACTACATCAAAAAGGCTGCATTACGGTTTCTCAAGAAATTAAAATATACATATATTGGGAGTGGTGCGTCCAGAGTGCGGCATTCGAATTGTAGCTGCACTGCAGATGAGTAGTGCCTATCCTACGGAAAATTTTGGATGGGGCCAACTTCGTGTTCCTCAAGCAGCCGCAGTAGCAGTGCTACGTGTTACCCGTTCGCAACACTGATTACCATAACCGGTTTAAGTGACCGATCTGACCGAAACTTAACTTTGCTCGGGAAGCAGATTGAGACTGCGTTCCACAGTCTGTCCGAACACTGTTTGTTTCGGATGAACTTACAGACAGAGTTGTTATCTTTAGCGACTGTAAGAGGCTTAGGTTGTACAATGGAATGATCGACACATGCACAGCTTGTACCTAGCGCAGACCAGCGAGACAAAACGGAAGTTATGTGGGGGCCCACGCAGGCTGATTGGAACACAGCTCACCCTCCTCCAACATAGACACCACAGTGATACAAATTGGAAAGACTTGTCAGCAATACGTACATGTACAGCTGATTTGGTCCCGACCAGCTTCACGCTGGGATCAGAATTTAAGGCTATCCCGCCAAGTAAATAATGTATTGTTTAGGGGTGTTCGCTTGTTCTTCGAGGTTCTTATGTTAAGCACTGAGAGTTGTTAATAGACTTTATCAACGCAACTTGCTTCCTAAACAACAATGATTATCAATTTTCTGGTAGCACCGATTGTAGCCATGCTATCACACGATTAGGCACCCCGTCAGCATTCGCCTCCAGCACAGTTTGACCTGAATTATCACTCCTGGATTGACGTCCCTAAGGCAACAAGTCAGTCATTGACCGCAACACGAAAGAAACCCAAGGCAAAGCATGTAAAACCTGTTGGCCCCTACACCGAAAACCACAGGACCAGTTTATTTAACCATTGTACATGCTGACACGTATGTAGAAACCATGCAGAAAGATATATCCTGCATTGGTGATAGTTCGGAAGTAAAATATTAGTGGACGGCGAAAGGGTAGCCAGTCAACAGGAAGTAGGGAAACCACATAAAATAATCAACTCAATTTATAGTGTACTAAACCAGTGGAGCCCAGTTAAAGCAAAGCAGAAAGCTGCATATCAATTCAACTGTATAAGAGGTTTTTGATGTTCTTTAAATATAAAATCCGCTAAACATGATAGTAGGCGGAAAGGGCAAGCGATTATGTACTGAATTAGGAACGAAAAGATTTTATTGCGTAAAGATTCACTGATTCATTAAGATAAAGCAAATTAAACAAAAAGTACTTCAAAATTCTACAGGAGCCCAATTAAGTCCATATATAAGAGTGCACCTCGATCTTTAGAGGGCTATTGACCGGATTCCGACGTACCCAGTTCAACAGACTACGAAATATCACCACATTTTATTCTCGGTAGAAAGTGACATAGAGTTTAGATGCTGAATTTAATCGCGCTTGATCCGAATCATGCTCGTTTAGTAATACGTGACCTACAGTCGAGAAATAAGTGAAACAACAAATCAGAACATTCGGCTCAGTGTACTAATGATATGATACGACAGCCGATAAAACAGACCAGGAACAATAGAAAACGATACGTGATCCAGTGCAGACGGACAGCGGTCACCAATGTAATCTTCACTGCTGCAATAGAAAATGGATTCGGATTTGAAAGGCACCCATCCCATGGCAAACATTTCAGGACTCTTCTCTCTTGCCTCAAACCCTTTTGCTTTATCTCTCACCGTATATCAAAACTTAATACTACAAAGAAACCGGTCAATTAAATAAACTCCGAAGCATTACACAAAATCATCTGTTTCCACCAAAATGTCCATTAGTTGAAGTTACTTACATGGTACACAGTCTTCCACCCCCTGTCGAATGGAATTAGTAGCGTCACAATATACAGACCTTATGATCGCAGTGTGACATATGGTTAGTACCAAAATAGCCTCGGGATGTTGGGCGTGCTCCACAACCACCAAACAGGTTACGTTTTTGGATTTGTTTCTCAAAAATGCAGGCGGCGTGGCACCGTTTTCAGTGTGTCTAGCTGACGAGTGCTTTCGCCGACACAGTGTATTCCGTTCCGGTTGCAGTTTTGGCGAATATCACTCTCATGGATGATGATGCTTGATTTTCGAGTTCCTGATCATAATGTCGGATCGATCACAACTAGTTACACGTCGTACACAATGTGTCTTAGTTGATCCAATTAAATAAAGTGTAAATGCTGCTCTCAGAAATAATCCTGTGTAAACATGGCGGAATCCAGGCGTGCTAGTGCCTTCCATGAGTAAAAGTACGATGCGTTGTGTAAACGCAACTTTGCAACGCAAAATGATCGATGTACGGTTTAAATTACATACACGTATTTGACCACTGTTAAGTTTCTCAGCACACTTTCGGTCAACGACAAGAATATGCTGTGCCGTTAATGTGTCTCACGAGCGTAACGGATGATAAGTCCCTGTAGGTAATTTCTTCGCTGAAATGTTTCGGTGCAAGTGCTGCCAAACACAACTGAAATACCATCGCTAGGTTAGTCAGATGGTTGTTTAACTTGGATACATCATATATCTGTTCTAACTAAAACAAAAAATTGCAACGGCAATTTCTTCATCCTGTGAGGCACAGTGACGGTTTGCAGTACCGTATTCGTTGGTTTACTTTATGTGAAACAGTGAGTTTGTCTCTGTCAACAACTTGCATCCTTATGCGCCCCTTTACTAACCATCATCAGCAACAGCAACACATCTGGTATTTGAACTGATGCTTCGCTGCCCAAAAAAACCATGTTGACTTACGGGACAAAGAATAATAAGAGGAAGAGAAGGGGGACTTACCGGAAAACCTTAATGCCCTAACCAATCACTCAGCGTCAAGGAGCCTACATCTTGTCAACAACGCATCGTCACAAACATCAGACTATCCTACAAAGATAAAACGGCATCGGCGAGACAGTTACCTTGGGGTTTTCAATGCTCCGCGTCAAAATCCGCCGTTACTCCACAGGTAACTAAGCGCTAAACACATTTTAAACAGGTAGTCCGACTAGGATGCGACAGCAGACGTGCCATTGGTGCCGATTACGAGTCGTGTCCTGTAACCTAGAGCTAAACTCGAGACGGTTACGTGGACTCCAGCCTGGAAGGTGCGATATGACAACGGCACCAACTTTATAGTTAGTAACGTAATTTCCTACTGGCAAATTGACTTCTGTCCACCTAAAACATTGCATCAAACTACATCCGGCTAGCAAAAAGGGCCCTAGTTATTTAGCGGTG